CAATGGCTAAATTCGACAATGGCTAAGTGGGAGTCCCACACTAAATAGCTTTAGACAGACCTGATCACTATTTTATCAAACCATATAAACCCATCTATCTCAACTCTTCCCCCCCATGAGAGCTGGTCTAAATCCAGTTTTAGTCTGGTCATAATGTATTATTCTGTTAGACAACGAAACAAAATCGAATTTGTCCAGTACCGATTCAAGATTCCTGTTCCATGTTCTTCTCGGAACTATTCACTTGTACACATTTCATAGGGAAAGAGTGAAAAAAAGAGTTAAAGTAAGATGTGTCCGGATTTGACATTCATCAAATGTCATTCATCATTACATTATCTTGGTCGTGCTTCAAACCTTGTCGTCATGGAACCACCACCTCGTCTCCTTAGGAGACCTCCCATTCTTACAGTTCTTCACGTAACGGTCATTATCCGCAGGACGTTGCTGCAATAACACAGAATATATATATGTTTCTTACCCACGTTCATAATTCAGAGTTTTTGGGTAACTAGGTAAGAGAATCAAAGGGAAACCTTTGCAGGTGAACTCGATAGCATCGAGAGAATGCTGATGCAGACTGAGCTCACCGTCATTGCTGGTGACCATGAGTCATATAGAATATCTGCCAAAACCAACCACACAGCTTTATATTCTCCAACGGAATCACTTTTCTCAGTTTACATGCCGAAGGAGTAACCAGATCAGACTGCTAAGTCATAACAGATCGGAGAGTTGCTTAATTTAAGATTCAATAAGAGCTTTGGAGGATTTTGATTAGAGTCCGACATACATGCAAGAGAACGAGCTATTATCTACCAAAATAATAAATCCAACAAGAACACAATATTTTATCGGTTCAGAAACTACTATGATGATCTTTGAATTTGCTACAGAACTCAGCCAACAATCTAAAACAGATATGGAGGGTTGCTACAAGTCTAAGGAACTCTATCCAAACATTGATTATCAGACGAACTGGGAAAAAGGATCTCGCATCCCAAACGATTTCTAAATCCCACAACATACACTTGGGTGATAACACTTATCAATGATCACCAACATATCTTCAAACTCAGCAATTCTTCACTTTCTTGGTTTGTCAAAAAACTATGGACATGTAGAGATTATTCGAATTTTACACCACATATCATAAAACTAACTAGACAAGTTATATTGGCATCATTACACAATAGCAGCAAGAAAAATCATGCAATTTGGGCTAATAGAAGGTAAACCCAAACCAGACAATAAACGATACGCAAATCACGGCAAGAGATAGCAATAATACCTAAACAAATATGTCCATTGCTGTAAATATGTGGATGTGACGGTGCCGGAGGAACAAAAACTACCTGCTCTCAACAACAACACTGAAAAATCATCAGTCAATACTCCACAACAGCAACAAAAGAAACACCAAAACTCAAAATAAAAACACTTGATGCCGTTAGTTTTAGGTGAAAACATGAAATATTCCATAACAAAAGCATCACCACCATTTACATCTCTCTCTAAATAACCAAACACAAGAGCTTTTAAGACAAGAACATAAGGAAAAAGTTCCGTACATCTAATATGAGACCATAATCAATAATATCTTCAGACAAGTCAGAACATTTCAGATACAGAATTTTCAGACCATCAAAACAAAAACAAAAAGACACGATTTTGGATTCGCGATTAAGGGGAAAAGCAATCTAGAGAATTGAAAAGACTTGCCTGCGGCGCTTCCATAGGGTAATGTTCGGGAAAATCAACCTGAAGCTGATAAGTCTCGTTCGCGTAAAGCGTTCCCGGAGCTCCGGTAACATCAATTATCCATCTTTACACAAAGAAAACAAAGGCGGATCGAAATTGCAGAACCAGAAAAGAGAAATCGAATTAGAGAGACTGAGATTTGTGGGGTGAATCTTTACTTTTGGAGATTATCAGTAACTTTGTGGCGAAATCCAGTGGGAGGATTTAATTGCCACTCAGAAAGCTCCTTCTGCAACCTATTGCAGGCGATCTTGCTTAAATTCTACGCATGATAAAACGCAAAACCAAATTTCAGGATTATCAAATCAAATAGAGATAGACAGACAAATTCGAAGAGGAATAATCAAAGAGGAGACTTTGCGTGAAGCTGCGGAAGAGCTGGTCATGGCG